GTTACACCGAACTTATCGACCGTCTGCATAGACAAATCCCAAAAATTACGTCAGACGGCAAAAGATTGCAGATGATCGTATGCCCGGCGACACTACACGCATTCGAAGTTAAAAAGATGGCTGTAAGTGCCACGGAATATATATTTGCATCATAATTGTATAATATATAAGTAAGCGAATGCACATTTGAATATACCTTTGAATTTTGACTTTTATTGTAGGAACGTTTAATGCATTTCCCAACTTGGGTAGATCTGAAGGGCGAAGACGCAGTACCTGAGACGGTACATCATATTGTAGTGATGGTAGATCCGCAGAAGGACAAGGAATGGCGTAACTTGAGGAATTGCATAGAAACTGATGGTGTACACGCAAGAGACGACTTGAATAGATCGAATGATATCGCCTGTTAGACACTTGTCATAATCGCTAGATAACACAATTTCATTCTCACGCGATAAAAATAATAGGAGTGATATGATGTAATAATTACAGGTGTGTTGTCAGAGGGTGTAAAAATGCTGAAGGGAGAGTACTGCATTCGTGCTATTAATGAGCATAAAATGGATCGCGCATTAATATTCTGTAGAACGAAACTCGATTGCGATAATCTCGAGAGATACCTGAAGAAAGCCGGTAAACAGTTTTCGTGCGTGTGCCTACACGGAGACCGAAAGCCCGCGGAGCGTAAGGCTAATTTGGAGAAGTTTAAACGTCAGGAGGTGAAATTTTTGATTTGCACCGACGTGGCTGCTAGAGGATTGGACATCACCGGTCTGCCTTTCAGTGAGTACTTCAGACAAAATCATCCAGAGAGTAAGAATACGTTACGTTATTTTTGTACATTTCTTTTGTTTTCTTTCTTTTTTTAGTGATAAATGTGACTCTGCCGGACGAGAAGTCTAATTATGTGCATCGAATTGGAAGAGTCGGTAGAGCCGAGAGAATGGGTCTGGCCATCTCTTTAGTCAGTAGTGTTCCGGAGAAAGTGTGGTATCACGGCGAGTGGTGTCCTTCTCGTGGAAGAAACTGCAGCAACACCAATCTGACTGATCACGGTGGCTGTTGCATGTGGTACAATGAACCTCGGGTGAGTTTCCAGTCTGTTCTCGATTTCGAGACAAGACAATATTGTATGAAACTCGATTGATATAGATGAGTATTGATAACTTATATTGATACTTCCGCAGTACTTGGCAGAAATTGAAGATCATTTAAATGTAACGATTCAACAAGTCGGTCCGGACATAAAAGTGCCAATGAACGAATTTGATGGGAAAGTTACGTATGGCGAAAAGAGAGCGGCGATGGGTACGTAATTATTATTTCTTATTACTTTACAACGAACAATTATTAAACATCTGTGCCCTCTTTCCGATAGGTTCCGATTACAAAAATCATGTCCAACAAATGGCCCCTGTTGTAGCCGAATTGGCCGCGATGGAATCTAGAGCACAGATTGCGTTTTTAAAGACGCATATAGCGGAGCGTTAAAATGGAGAATACTCAATGATTTAACGGTTGAAATTCTAATCGAATCTCGTAATTCTAGTGATATCGAGTTCTATTCCAATCGGAAATATTTATAAAAATATCACGTTTAATGCAACATTTATTTAAAAATCTATTCTATCACTGCTATTATTCTCTATCTTTCTGTACTTATGCATATTTCTAAAACTTCCTTTGCATATGTAAAGTCTTTATGTAGCGTATTGCACAATGAAAATATAAATGTAAAAAGGTATAACTGTGTTTCTTTCTTGTGTACATTAAAACGATGTGCAATAAAGAGTGTGTGTGTGTGTGTGTGTGTGTGTGTATGTGCACGCGCGTAATTGTATTGATATATTGTTTTCGCATTTGTTTTTCTTTTCCGTATTTGTAACGACTTAGTTTACACCGATTGTGG